TTAAGAATTTCCTACTGATATTGATACATAGCTGATATTGATATGACAACTATCTAACTATATGAAAGGTCATAGGAATGTGGAGAGATATAAACCTTTTGTACAATTCTATCTTTCTCTGTTGTCCAATAAGGTTCCATTCTGTTGTGGCAGGCTGGCAGAAATCTCAAAGGAAATTTATGGAACAATCCTATGGATCATACACATTACCTGAGGGGCATGGGATATTTCAGATTCTCAGCCCTGAGGCTGGAATCTGTTCTAATCTTGAAGCTGGGAATCAGATCACTCTTTCCTGCCACTCAGGAAAAAAATGCACAGGCTGCACTCTGAGGTCAGAAGAACACCAGATTTGTCCTTGTCAAAGACCATAGTGAGCCCTGTGAAGAAACTGTTTTTTTAAGGATGTGGAGTTTTGATAGCTAGCTGTCCAAACTGACAGCTCTCTTAAAAAGGGAATGACTCACATTTTTCTATTTTCCCAAGCACCTAGAGTACCAGGAACAAGTGCAAAAGTGAGAACACCCATAGGACAGTGGAACCTCCCACCCCAAGAAAGATGAGGATAGTACTACAAAGAGAGATGTATATCTGAACACTCCCTTTTGCTTTACCTTGCCAGCTCACATTTTGACAGCCATCAAGAGAATCAAAAGTGGAAAAAAACCTTATTTGGAACTTACTTGGACAGCAAGTACCCTCTAGGACATTGACCCAGTGTCAACTTCTTATTTCCACACTCATGGAATTGTGCACTTCACAATCCTGCAAATTCATTTTCTACAAAGGACACCATTAAAAATGGTTTGCCAGGCAGTGACAGCCCCTCTGAGGGGCTGCTTGGGGACCTTGAAGGGTCAGTCATTGGCTGCCAAGTTGCCTTCACAGTCTAAAAAGTCAGAGTAAACTGAAAAAGGCTTGCAATCAGGGTGCGGAAGATCTAGCCAGTGCTAAGTGCAGTTTGGACACTTGCTGCATGGCTGATAGTGGCCAGGTCAAACTTGGCAAGAGGACTTTGCTACTCTTGCTAAGTGGCTCACTGGCTGGTTCCTGGTGCCTGCTGTAGGGGTCCATAGTTCATTATCAGAACCCATCATGGGTCCAACTCCTACAACAATCAATGAAATTTCAATGTGACTCGTCACCTTTGAATAAGATACCTTGAAAGAATTGGTCCATGTTTTCAGGACACAACAATCCACTGTCCTTGTCATACATAATACGTTGTCATGTTGTGCAAACACAGTTTATATACTTTTGGGATTTCAAGAAAAGGATGTCCCCTGTGGCTGTTCCTTCCAAATATTCTCCATCCTGAACTTGATGGTCATTGAATTAAGTAAGACTTTTATATCTGGGCAAGTGTTTAAACTGGCCCTGGGTGATTTTGATCTGTTTTATTTTGGAAAAAGGTAAAAATATAGTGGAAATCACAGAAAGAAATGAGATACTACAATTTCAAAAAAATCTCTCTTAAATGCATTTGCCCACCATGAATATAAGGGAGTGGGTTTTAGTTGCTGGAATTCACAATGTGAATACCATCGGCGGAAAAGCTATAGGATAGGCCAGATTGTACACTTAGGTTACCATCAGGAACACCCACAACCAAAACAGATGAACTGTCATTGGATTAAACAGTCAATTTACAGCTATTTATTTGTAATAAGTTTTTTCCCATGCAAATATTTCTTGATCATTCCCAGAGCATGCAACTCAGAAGGCATGCAGTATAACCACAAGCAGCACACTGATCCCTTTGCCCTTTGATTTTTCCATAAAGTGGATGGAATTCTAATAGGAAAAGCACATGATGGATTTCATGCAACTACCGCTGACTTTACAAATTTAAGCTGTAATGTTCCTACAAGCTATAGGTGAAGGTAAATAGGAGTGTTTATTGAGGTCAGAATCCTTAATAGTGAATGATTCCTGAAGCCACCTGTGAATTCTGCTTGTTGTTCTTGTTTTTAACTTCAGCATGGAAAATGTGTATCCATCCAAATATTGGTATTACAAACAGCTGCAATAGTAATAACAATACCCAGTGGACCACAAAATAGGACCTGTAAGTAAGCAAGTGAACATTTACACAGTACTTCTGAACTTGTGGTCAGGTGCTATTAATCTTATCAAGCACTGGTGGTTAATCCATTGTTTAACTAACCGTACTTTCAACTTCTCTGTCTTGCCTTGCACTCACGTATTCTGTGCACACTAAACAATAAAGACTACTATAATGTTCTGAGCAATTACTATAACCTATGTTTCCTATAATGACAGGTTTATGGGGTTTGTCAAAACTTATAATCTTAGAAGACCAGATTGAATGACTTCAATCTGAGGTAGGATGATGGCACTTGTATCAGGAAATAAATAGTTGCTTTCCAAAAGGAGAATGGAAACTTTTGCTCAATCTATTTTTCTGGAAGCAGGAAGAGCACCTTTCAGTGAAGAAACATTTACAGAGGCTAAACAAAGCCTCTGTCTATTCTGAATGCACCAAAACTTCTGCACTGTGTCCAGAAAATGTTTGTTTTTAAAGGCAAAATGATGTATGAGTCAATGGGACAAGATTTTGAGTTTATCCTGACAGCAGATTGAATATGCTTCATTCCCAATTATTCACTGTTGCACAGGGTCATTTAGGGCACTACAGATTCTGCTAATCCACGTAGCAGGGTTGCATAATCCCCATAGCAGATGGGCTTGGAGCAAATGTCACAGCAAGGGTGGACACTTGCACAATTTCCTAAAGGGGTGGGTTGACACCTCAAGTGAGGCATTGGCCTGTCCAGCCCACCAAAGAGTTGCACGAATGCCTTGCATGACTCTTTGTACAACATAGACCTGGTAGTTTGCATGCTGAGAAGCCCAACCAGTTGATTCCTGAAAAGGAACCCAACCAAACCAGTTGGTTCCTGGGACTCTTCAAAGAGCCTGCATGGCTAAAATGCCTTACTATGAGGGGCACTTCCTCATAGTGAAGTATTGTTGGGAAGGTGGCCTTGGGAACTGCTTGTGTTGCTACTTCTGATCTCCAAGACTGCTTCCTTGGCAGTACCTTGTGCTGAGGAAAGGTTCCATACAGGGAGGAGGGAAGATTATGCTGTTGGCTGCAGGGGTGATAGCTGTAGGATGCCATGGGGGTGGGTAGTGGCCAATGGGTCCTGGGAGCAGACAGTGGTGCCTTCTACTGCCTTGGACTGCAGGGATTCTTGTACTGTTGTTCTTGTGCCCTTGACAGTTTCCCATTTTATTCTTATGCAGTCTTCTGAGATGTGTTAGACTGTGAAACAGCCTAGACTGGAGCCTATGTGTGTTTGACTTCAGTTAGGACCAGATTAATGTCTTTGTAATCCTAGGCACTCTAATGATTGTAGGCTTCCACGAACTGAAGGATTTCACTCAAATTGTGCAAGTTTCATTAATAGACACAGAAGTTCACAATCTGCTTCCCACCAGCAACTTGATCTGCTTCTGATAAATGTATTGAAGTGTGTGTGTGTGTTTAAGGATTTTTCTGTTTTGATACATCCCTAGTGCCCTCCCTGCCCCTAGTCATTCCTCAGAAGGATTGGAAACCCTAACCCAGATAGGCTAGCCATATGGTTACATCAGTATTCACAAAATTTGGAAAGACTTAGCTCTGAAAACCTTCCTTAGGCATTAGCCAATGGCAATGCTGTTGCAAAAAACCTCACACCATCTAACTACAAGGAAACTGTATAATGCAAATGACTAAGAACTTTTATTTTAAAATGAAATTGGCTGAAGTCTGAAAATTACAGACTTGGGTTTGAGTGGCAGTGACAAATTCTGCATAGAGTACTTCTATCCTGTAATGGATAAATGTATGACAAAGGCAGTGGCATATCCCACATTCAGTGAAAGAATTCATTTTCATTTGATCTCTGTCCAGTGACGAAATATCCTCTAGTGCAAGGACATTAATAAACAGCTACCCATCTGGTCTTCAAGATGCATCTACAGATGAATTTCTATTGCTCTTATGTACACACAGACAGGAAATCTGTGGTCATTGCAAACATAGAGGACAAGTTGATGGCAAGTTTTCCAAATTTCAATGTTGCTTTTAGAATTCATCTTGCCAGTTTTGGAACAAGTTGTAAAGGAGAATGCTCTTTTCAAAGTTAAAACATAGAAAGAATTCTCTGAGATTGGCCATGGGACACAAACAACAATCTTCAGTTGTATGACTCTCAGCTGAAAATGAGCATTTGCAAAAAATTAAATGTGAAGCTCTAATCCATGTTTTCACTAAGAGAGCTACAGTTAATGCTTAATTTCCATTTATTTAAGATTTAAGATATATTAGCATGAGTAGACTGCTAAATCAAACAATAGCTTCCTTTAATTGAATTGAATCTTTTTTGTGGACCATAGCTCACAAAATCTCACAGATCCTTGGGAGTTTTGTAGTCCTTCGGTACTTTGACTTTTATGGCTATGGATAATTCAGACCTGCATCTAGCACACTTTCTGGCTGAGTGTGGGAATTGGAATCTGGGTCAACACTCTAGTCACCATGCTGTACTACAGCAGCTCCCTATAGGAAGACAAGTTCTCTGGAATGTGCTGTCCTTCTCAGTAGTACTGTTAAAGATATCAGCAATTATAGGATTAATACTATACATTGTTATATTACTCTAATCAGGTTACTGACTAAATTACTTAGGGTGCACGTTTAAAGAGCAAAAATGCTTACAATTCCCAGCATGTCCTAGGCAGCCACTTGAATAGAATTGTACCGTTACTGACACACACTAGGGCTATTTTAATCACTAAGAGATACTTCTTGTGTCTTCAACGTGATAAAATACACTCAAATATATAATGGGAAAGACCAGTTATATCTTAAAGGTGTCAGTTTTATGAGAAAACAGATGAACAAAACTGTCTATAGCTTGTCATTCAAAATATGATGCTTTACTTTTAATGCTGTCACTAGCAGATTAATCATTTTGTTTTAATTATAGGCATGTTGAATGCTGACTTGACTTCCATTTTTCTTAGAAGAAAGGCAAGGTACAAATCTATCTATCTATCTATCTATCTATCTATCTATCTATCTATCTATCTATCTATCTCCCTATCTCCCTATCTCCCTGTACATATCAATTCTAAATATATCTTTGATCCTCAACTGCAAACCATGATATTTCCATCCATGGCCCTGATGTGGATCTGTTTTTGTTTTTGTTTTTAAATTCTAAACTCTGTTATTAAGGAAAAGGAAAAAGAAAAAGAAAAGAGGGAAATGGCTTCATTGGTGTCTCTATCAACTTTCTCTCTCTTTTAGTCTACCCCTATGATATGACAGATGGAATTTTGCACTTTTCTCCCCACAGACTCCTCACAGACGACAGGTGGGATGGAAAAGTTTACCATCCTCTGCTGGAGCATTGCAGTTCTGCTCTGAGTTGGGGTCATGCATGTTCAAACAGAAGAGATCTAGCATGCATAGCTCCAGCAGAATGTCAAATGAACACATTTCTTCTTCCCAGCAGAACAAAACAGGAGGCTTCTAACATTGGTCCTTTATTTTATTTTATTTTGTTTTGTTTTGTTTTATTTTTTGATTTATATCCTGCCTTTTTCCTACAAAGGACTCAAGGCAGCTTACATCATTCTCCTCCTCCATCTTATCCCCACAACAACAACCCTGTGAGGTAGGTTGGACTGAGAGTCTGTGACTGGCCCAAAGTCACCCAGTTGGCTCCATGGCTGAGCGGGGACTAGAACCCAGATCGTCTGAGTCCCAGTCCCATGCTCTTAACCACTACACCACACTGGCTCTTACTGAATTTGGCTGGCTTTGCAATATAGACTGAACAATACAAAAGGCATGAACAGAAAGCAGCCATGGTGCTAATGAGCCCTCTAATTGTGGTGTTAGTTGTTACTTTTATCAGAAGTTGATTTCAAACTGAGTTCCTCTCCTCTGTTTTCTCCCAAATGAAGCTGGCTCCACCCTAAGGCAAGTTTATGCTGCTTGCTGGCCAGATAGTGGGAATGCTGGATGTTACTTAATTGGGCCACTCATTTGACTAGACCATGAACCACTGGGCTGTTAAATCACACCCATCCTCCTCTGTCCCTTCCTGTTCAACAGTGTCTCCCCTATACCAGAGGCAGTCTGCTTTTCATCAGCCACCTAGGCGTATATCTCTGCTTGCTAACCTTGGCATTTTAATTAAGCATTCTGACCATGCCTCTTTTTCTAGTTCTTATTCAGATTCTGAAATCTCTAGTTTGGAATACTATATTTTGGGAGAAGTGGGCCCAATTTGTACACAGTGTATTTAGTTTTGCCCTCAGTGGTAAAGTTGATATTTTGAGTTTCAGTTAGCTTTAACTGAAGCTCTAAGTTTGCTGTGATGGAGTATGAAGTTTAAAAACCTTACAACTGGAAATGACACAATCATGTGGCTTAGTTGCAATAATTCTCCGTCTCTAATATATGTATATAGGATAGAAAAAGTGGGAAGTACAATTATTTAGCTTAAATGCAGGATTTTTCAATGTAATTTACAATTATTACTTTTTTTCTTGTAACAACCAGATTAGACTGAGAATTTCCTCAGCTCTTATAGAGAGGTTATATTATATACACATAGACATATATGGTATGCAGTAAATAATGTTTGGAGCAGCTTTATATATCTCTTTCATTACATGCATATATGTGAAAGTAGTAGTCATAGCTTTCTGTCACATGTACCTGCAGAGGAATAGATTATCTAGTTACTTAAATTTGATGGTATGTTCCAAATGTAAATCCCAAATCTGTAATCTCTGAGAGACAGAGGCTTGGCTAAGGGAATCTAGCAATATTCACTAGTGTAGATTTGAATATGGACCTAGCACATGGAAATCCAACACTGGATTTGTACAACATTGAAATGAAAATGCTGAGATATATTTTCAGTCATTTGTTTGCTTAGGGGCAAAACTGGTGTTACTGTACACATTAACAGCTATGTCTTTTAATTTGTTTGCTCTAGAGCGCAGGAGACCTAATCCAGACTGGGACAGAAAATAATCTCTCTCCATAAGTCATTAACCTAACTTTGGAAAGGCAGAAGAACCCAGAACAGGAACTCTGAAGAAGTTCTTAATTCATAGTGTGGTTTATGCAGGGTATGCTACTTCAACTTCTCTGACCCCCAGCTATTCAGCTGAGCTGGGCAAACACCCTCTAGGTGTTTTGGTTTACAACTCTCATCAGCATAGCCAATGGTGATGAATGATGGGAGTTGTAGGTCAAAACATTTGGAGAGCTACAAGTTGCTGAACATTGATTTAGGACTTTAAAGACCCAATCCATGAATAAACCTTGGAAATGAGTTGACAGCCAATATGGATTCCCCCCCTCAACCCTTGTATGATGCATAGCAGGCAGCCCCAGTTAAAAATCTGTCCACCTGTTTTTTTCGCAGGATGCTGTTTAAGCTCCTCATTGTATGCCTTGAAGTATCTTCTTTATTTTCTTTAAGAGATGAGCATTAGTTTCCTTCTTTGAGAGCACTTCTCTTTGAGCTGGAGGCATTAGAAGTGAATGTGGTATAGGAATGGATGATCCAACCATTCTGCTTTCTTATAACATCTGCATTGTTTTCCTATTTCCATAACAGTTTATGAGTTCTTTTTTTAAAATGAAGATTTCTATGCACTTCCCGGTATTACTCACATAGTTTTCAAGTAATCTCTCACTTAATATATGCCTTTTTGTGCATTATTTCCCCCGAGGTATATGTTTGTGTATGCAGTTTCCCCTAATATTTGCATGTTTGTAGAACATTTTGACTGAAGAATTTTATCATAACATTCAGACAATGAAGGATCATTGTGTTCTGGTATCAGGTATGAATTAGATTGATTCATATTTAAATCCAAACTAATCAAATTCATACTATATTCCTACTTTGGATGAGGTAGGAATGGAGAAAAAGAAGAGTATGTCTGTCCTTTCTTTCCCTTTGTATCAGTGTTACATCTGAAGTCTCTGCAATATTTTTAAATTTTGCATTCATATTACATGTACACTATGAAAAGTGCATTATGTGTATTCTTTAAAAATCTATGTATTTACATGTATAGTTATTTTTGTGTTTGATTTTACTACATTTACAGAATTGGATTTTTTTTAAAACAGACTTAATGGAAGTTCAGGTTGTCAGCTTAATACATATTTTCAGTCAATCAGCTCCCTGGCTTTTAAGTGATTATTGCAAAATGTCAGAGGAAGTGTTTTTGTAAGGCTCCTACAGAAAGATGAAGTATAAATAAAAATTTTGGGGGTGCAAACCAGAATAATTTTTAAAGGTTCCCCAACATGAAATGTGCAGAGTGGGGAAGGAAAGAGCTTATATGAACAACTGACAAACCAATTCTATAAATTCTATGTTCAGTGACACTTACTCCTGTGTAAGTGGGCATATGATTGTAGCTTCTTACCAGCCCCTGGTCACCCAGAAATTTCTTGAATCGTGGAATAAGTTTTTCACTAATTCAGTAAGGGACACAATTTTAAACTGTCCTTAAAGGGTTAGTTGATTAATTGCTCTGATTAATTGGTGAAAGCTGGAGCTTGAATGCTTCAGTAGTGCAGCCATGCAAGTCATATGGAACAATATGGAAAAAAGCAGGCTTGGATGTGGATGGGCAGGGAAGTGGGAAAAGGTCCAGGAGAAATGCAATTTCCTTTTCCCTACTCCACAAAGCTCATCAGAACTTGGAGGAAGTCAAGCAAGTCAGCATTTTACATCAACCACCACTTTGACATGACAGGCAAGACATTTTCACACGTACAGAATTGCTGAGGAAATTCTTCCTAGCAAAAGTGCTTTCCCCTTCCTTCCATGAGGAGTGTTGTATAGATTGAGCAACTGATGTCTAGGCAAAGCTGGAAACTAACACATTTGAAACAAAGTCTGCACAAGCAGTGAGGACTATGGACTGTACCCCCCACCCCAACCACACTGATGATTCAAAAACTGGATTGATAGGGTCTGTCCTCTGCTGTGATGACCAATATTTGATCCATAAAGTTGGCAGCTTTGTGAGCAATTGCAACCGAGAATTTTTACTTTAACTCTAGCCATTGAATCTGAAGAGTAATTGCCACCCTGGAAAGGTAATTACATATGCTATTGTTTATACACATAATAGGCCTGGAATGCATGTTCTGCAGATCGAGAAAAAAAAAAAAGAGCGAAAATCCTGCTTTCACACTGGGGCGGTACACAATGTATAGTGACAGAATGCCACAAATAGCATTCATACTCTTGCATGTTAATAGGTGATTTCTCTTGGTGTGTGTGTTTAAGGGAGTAGGGGGAAGGGACTTGGAGAAAGAAAAGGGAGGGGAGGCAACTGAGGGTTTTTTCCCCTTTCCCTCCTCCTCGCCTTTTTAGAATCAGTACCATGTAAATACAAACAATTTCCATCTCTCCCTTTTAAAGCATCATGAGAAATGTTTTGAAGCTTCAAAGGGGATGCACTCTTCTTTTACCCCATGGGAATATTAATTACTCCCAAACTTTTATAATTCCATGAACAATACCATATGTGTTAGTAAAAGAAATTACAGGCAAAGCAGTGCTAAAGGGTCTTGACTTGAATTGCCCTGAAATTGGACCAAACAGTTTGACAGAATATTGGACAGGAGTTTGAAGCATCCCACTGTGCCTAGAGTTGAACACACACACACACACACACACACACACACACACACACACACACACACAGGGAGGGAGGGAGGGAGGGAGAGATGCATTTTCAGTTACCAAAGTGTCTCTCACCCTTTAATTTTTTTGTTCCTTTTCCTCTTCTCACCATTTAAAAACATATGTTAGAAATAACAACCATATATTCTTGATTACCATGATATTCTTTCTGGGCAGTAGGCATGCATTTCTTACAGGGGAAAAAGACTTTTTTTTGCAAAGGATATTTCAAAATATTGTAAGGATCTGGACAACACAAAGCCAAAGAATAGTTCTGTATTCTAATATGGAACTGAGCATTGTTAGGGGCTAAAGCAATTCATCGTGGGTTATTCTCCACTGCGGTGTCCAGCAAATTGCATGACCAGCTTGTTAGGCTTGACAACAGTCCTTTACCTAACAAAGGCCTCAACAGCTCACAGCAGCAGTGGAATGTCAAAATGAGCACATTTCACACACAGATGTGTGACCATAATGGCTATAAGAAGATGCATGTGGTGGAGGGAAAAAGGGCTGGGGCCGGGAGGCTAACAGTTAGCAATGGGGACAGGCCCTGCTGACCATTTTTAATCAGTCCTTCTGTAAACAATTCAACATTTTCATTGTTCTCCAAAAACTAATAAAGAGAAACAAGCACTTTTCATTCATCTTGAAGTAATTTTCTGTCAGGTTCGAGCCCCTTGTGGCCTACAGCTTGTGCACAGCTAGCTGTGTGATACAACAACTATTTCAATTTATTTTACAAACTCTGGCCATTCAAATGTCAGTTAGTGTTCACCAAGCCGGCATCTGAAATTGTGCAGTTAACGAGTTTTACAACATTTCTATCAAGAGAAACTGTTTAGCATAACTGACTCTTAAGGAGTTATTATACCTCTAAAAATCCATTTTAAGGGGCATTATTTAAATAAAATAGAAAAACGGTTCACTGCCTTTTAAAGGGGCTACAAAAAAAGTCTATCAGATCCAGTGCAGTAATCCTCAGCTTAGAGCACTCTCGAGAGCACTTCTGGGAATTATCAGCATAATGAAATGTTTTGTGAAATGTCCAGATAGATTCCTCTACTCAACAATTTTATGGCACCATATTTATTTTCCACCCATTTTTTTTTTAAAGAAGTGAATTACTTTTCGAGGGGATGACTCTACACTCTGTAGATTAACTGAACACATATTATTACCAAGGTTATGCAGCAGAAGGGAAGGCTGAGTCTGCAGCATCATCTATGTAAAACTGTAGGAAAAGGACCAGCCTTTTATGATACCCTCCACCCAAAATGGGTTAAACTACAATGAGGCTTATGCAAATATGTATCCCTTTCCTACTTCATTTCCCATACTATTACACAAGTCTTTTGCACACACACCTGTAAACTATTCTACTGTGTTATCCGTTCACATTCTTTGTAGGTTAACTGCACGCACAAAGATTTCTGTGCATGCGTTCATGTTTTTGTGCATGTACTTGTACATTGACTTAAAACCATTTGATACTTTATTTGAAAGGGTCAATGAAGAAACTTTTGTGAATGCAAAAGATTCAATATAAAAAGCAATAAGGACAGTAAAAAAGGGGACAGCAGGAGGAAGAATAGGAGGAAAGAATACAAAGATAATTGCATGCTCAGTCTTAAGATAGCCCTCAATCAATGGTACTTGCTTCTGAGTAGACATGTTTACAACTGTGCTGATAAGACAAGAACTAGTTTATATTACATAATCTAAAGTTGCTGAAATGTCCTATCTTGAAATGTAACCTAGCATACTTTTGTCATTCTGGTATACATTTTAGATAAGGCATTGGAATAATTTATGCGGCAAGTGTGCTTTTACTCCCATTAGGTAGTTTAATATGAAAAAATGGCTTGCTGTTATGCAGGTTGGTGCTCCCATTATGGACAGTTACTGTTAGAGTAGTTTTGGATCACTGGGCAACATAGATAATTTGTGGAATCTATTCCCTGTGAATTTCAGTGGATAAAGTCCAGTGGGGTGCTTCTATCTCTGCCAATTCCCTTATGCTTCACAAATTGCTATCCAAAAGTGCGACCTACCACTTGTGAAAGAGTTTTCCAGGGCAAATGGTAATGAGTGAATACACTTGTTTCTGGAACTGAGCAGGTCAACAGAGCACACATTATTTATTTATTTAAAACATTTCTATGCCACCCCCATCGCAACAAAGCCTTGGGGCGGCTCACAACAAAAACATACAAAATTATCCAAAAATTACACACTAAAAATATTAAAACCCGGTGCATCTCGGCTTAAATTTTTTTAAAATCCTACATAATGGAGCTCCACTGACCTGTCCCTGTTGAGAAATGTCCACTTCCACTCCTTTCCAGAATTCCTTGGGGAGCAATGCATCTCTGTTGCATGGGTGTTGTGTCCTGGTCATGCAATGGAATCAGTGGGACCCAATACGTATGCAGCAGAATAATCAGAGCCAAGAGAACTGTAGGCATCCTTCTGGTTTCTACCCATAGCCAAGAAATTTGTCCCCATTTAACTGGTAGAGTTTCTCATCTACATCCAAACACAGAGAATTCACTATTCATTTTAAGGCAGTATACTAGCTATAACAATATATATTCCAGATTCTTACTACACCAGCTTCCTGGTATGATAATCAATAAAGGAGGTCTCATGGATCCATTAAATAAGTGCCAATGTATTAAGGGAATAGCCCTCAGACCAGTTGCATCCTCTATACAATTAGCAAAACCCTTTTGGTATAACATGTTGTGTTAAGAGTTTTCAATGTTCGTTCAACCTCTAAAATGTAAGGAAATAGCAACTGTTAAAGACTGTGTTTTCAAGATGCACATTTTTGGGTAGTATGTGTATAGTGTCCTGTGCTATGGCAAATTACAGCTTTGCTACTTTCTTGAAGCTGGATTGCTATCAGTCCCAGATTTGTCTGTTGAGTGGAAAATGCACCTGGATTCTATGGAATTGATGCTAGCATATAGCTGAAGCTACCCTTTCACATCACAGGTACAAGGATTTGTTGCCAGTTGGCACGGACCATTCTCAGATGGGGTGGGTCCATCAGACCAGAAGGTGGAATCCTGCTGCTGCCACAAGCTCTCAGCTGCTGGCCCTGACCCTCCCCCCCCAAAAACACAACTCACAATTCCTACTCTCTTTGTCAGTGTGAGTCTTGATCTCTTGCCCAAGCAACTTTACTATACCTGCCAAAGAAGGGAAGTTGTGTGCTATTGTTACTGCTCCATCTGAAGGTTTTTGTGACCACCCCATCTCCCACCAGGGTAAGTGCAACACAGGATTGATTGAAGAAGTTATCCAAGCAGATTAGTGGGGTGCCAGGATGACCTTCATGGCTATACTCAGACCTGAACCCAATCAGGGCCCAATTTTGCATCAGAAAGAATCCTTGAACAAATACACCCCCCTCCCTGAGTCAATGGCATAGGGTGAAGTGGACTGAAGAGAGGAAGTAACAGGTGATTACT